CTCTAGCATTGTATAAGGTCTTGATGATGAATGTCATGGATTTATTTTCATCTGATTAAAACTGATGAGAACTCCATGCTGCCTTCCTACTGAGAGACAATTAATGAATTTGTAAATGTACCTCTCAAAAAACAAGCATAATTTCACTAGAAGAGCTAAATTGTSTYTGTTTTCAMTWWATTWTTAGGGTTCTGATGCTACAGAACARCCTACAGGTCCAACAAGTGAAGCTGGYGTCGCTGCTGCTGCTCCTTCGCTGGTGATWTGGGGAACTGATGTTGTTGTTAGTGAAACTAAAGCAAAGTTTAAGAAATTTGTRATGGAGTATGTGGATGATAGTGGTGARGAAATGGGWGAAGATTTTGATCCTCTTCTTCCWGTGTATATGCAAAGACTTGATGAGGTACTAGACATTTATAGCTACCAATCTCCTGTTGATTGTTTCAATACACATGTTTACCAAAAAAACATTACTGATGTGTGCTTGAAATGTGGTCTTTGAGTGCACTGACARAACTCTAGATTGTAAAAAAATGTACATCAATTGGAACTGATATTTCTTGATGGAACTGATATTTCTTGATGGCTGAACAGTTGTAGCACACTGGTACAGTAGACTGGGGATTTGTCCCTTACAATAGGAATAATTCTAATAATATCCTAGTATTATTACAGATTTGTTCCTAGGATGTCCTAGGAATTTTTTAGGAATTCCTAGGAACACTTTAACTTAAAGAATTTGCAGAGCAATTTGAAGACACTCAAAAGGTGTAGAGTCCTTGAAAATCCTAGGAATTCYTAGTATACTAGGAYCTCATTTSACAAGGGGTGGATTGTCGGATTCTATTAKTGTCAAACTAAGACRTGAYKTTTACAAATAATAGTCCTTTYAGACWACACAAARATATATCATACAATGMTGWRTGATAAACAACACCAATAATTTCYTTCTGCACAATAATYCTRYTAAYTTTGCTAATCAAGTGAAACMCTTTTTGYAGATTCATGTCCTTGAGACACCTTTTCTYAACATTGACTGCTGCCAGCTGAAAGACTTTGATGGAGAGCTGTACCGACAGCTTGTCTGCTACCCACAAGAAGTCATCCCYACATTTGACATGGCTGTTAATGAAATCTTCTTTGAGAAATATCCAGACGCTCAACTTGAGCATCAGATTCAGGTAGCTTATAGATGATATTTTATTATTTTGGTACAAACTTAATATTATATTGTGCCTTGAATGGAATTCAAAGAGATGCTACACTTTTGATGTCTTACAATATTTTCTCCTCTTTATAAAATGAGCTGTCAACTGCAAGAGATGTTTTTCTTTAAGACAATATGAAAGTTTTTTCCATTTGCGACAATGAGTTTACATGAGTTCTGCATAATTGAGAAGAAAAACTTCAGTTACAATATGTTGCTGTTGTATTCCACCTTAATTCAAGACAAATAAAATATATAATTCTTATTCTGTTTTTTTTTTCCTTTTTAGGTCAGGACATTCAATGTGGAAAAAACTAAGAATATGAGAGCTTTAAACCCTGAAGGTATTGCCGATTAACTACACTGTTATAATGACAGGATGTATTTTATATCGTTCTGTTTCTCTTTAGACATCGATACACTTATCACAATAAGTGGTATGGTTACTCGGACGTCGCATATTATCCCTGAAATGAGAGAAGGTAAAAGAAGCATATTACTCACACAATATTATATCATCATAATTAAATCGTGATGACCATCATTATTGTTATTTACRTCTTTTCCATTATTTTTTCTAGCATTTTTCAAGTGTTATGTCTGTCAATCATCTGTCAGAGTTGAGATTGACAGAGGCCGTATTGCCGAGCCTACAATCTGTCGCCATTGCAACACAAATCATAGTATGATGCTAGTCCACAATAGGTCTTTATTCACGGATAAACAAATTGTCAAACTGCAGGAATCACCAGGTAAACTTAATTATTTGACTTTATCATGGTTTTCATTGCATTCTTTCTTGTTGTAAATCTTCTTTTGATTTAAATTACAAATCCAAAAATCCTAACAAACAAGAAGTGATTTTATACTGAATATCAATAACAGGCTATCATCATCTTGTCTTGGTATTTGACTCATGACTTGGGATAGGACATGTAATCCTTCCCTAAACCAATTCAGATACTCTTTCCATCTATTCCAGCTCTCACACACATTTTTTATTTAAAAATAATTTTATGTGGATGTATACCTGATGAATTTGCCAGGAACTTTCATGCCTAATGAGTGGTTGTTTTATTTTCTAGATGACATGCCACCAGGACAGACTCCTCACACAATCATGCTGTATGCTCATAATGACTTAGTAGATGGTGTACAACCTGGTGATAGGTAAGAAAATGGTAAAAATTTTACTCTCTGACAGTCAATATGACCATTTTACAAACAAATAATGCAGGAAGAATAAAAGGTTGCATGTTGAGAAAACTTTATGAAGAAGAAGTGTACAATTTTTTCCTTTTTTGTTCCACAGGGTTGTAATCACTGGTATATATAGAGCCACGCCCATCAGGGTCAACCCACGGCAGAGAAATGTCAAAGCTGTATATAAAACATACATTGATGTAATCCATTACAAAAAGACTGATAAAAAGAAGCTATATACTAATGATCCTGATAGGTAAAGAACATGATTTTCTTTGAATACTTTTGCCTGTGGCTTGTAAATTCAAGTCTCAAAAATGTCTCTCATTTCAGTGCTTTGGTATTCACACAAGAACGTGTTGACCAACTCAAGGGCCTGTCCAAACAGCCAGATATTTATGAAAGACTTTCTAGAGCTCTTGGTATGGATTATGCTGCTTCAAAAGTTTGAAAATTTTTGACTGGGTTAATTGTGTTTCCTTTGCTGGCAACGTTCCTACAAACACTTAGAAAGGTTTMTTTTTCTTTCTGTAGCTCCTAGTATTTATGAGAATGAGGATATCAAGAAAGGCATTTTACTGCAGTTATTTGGTGGAGCAACAAAAGACTTCACCTCAGCAGGAAGGGGGAAATTCAGGTAAGAAMATTTGTTGCAAAGCATATAAATCATAAAAAACATTGTTTAGTAAGAAGAAGAATTGCATTCAAGATGATAAGTTAAGAAAATAAAGAGCAAAGTAAAACAAGAACTGTAGACACTGAATTTTTGCAGTGAATAATTTGAAGTTGTCAATTAAAATCTGAATGGATATTAGAACGAATAGTTTGATACTTTAGATAACTCAGTACTCGTTTGACTCACTGTTCTCATAGAATTCCTCATTGATCAATTGCAAGTACAAGTATTGTGTAGTTATTTGAGTCAAAAGCTTGAACAATTTTCTGAAAATCTAGCTAATAATTAAAAGACAATGTTTTTTCGTATTTGCCTCAAAGGTCAGAGATAAACATTCTACTTTGTGGGGACCCAGGAACAAGCAAGTCYCAGCTTCTTCAGTATGTTCATAACCTTGTTCCACGTGGACAGTATACTTCAGGGAAAGGATCTTCAGCTGTTGGYTTGACTGCTTATGTGACCAAGGATCCAGAAACAAGACAGCTGGTACTSCAAACGTAAGTGCCGATTGATCCTAAAGATAATGATAATAAATTTATCTTTTATTGAAATGCGAATGCAGTCTACTACTGGAAAAGAAGCCAGAAAAAATATGACTTTTAACGGATTTTTCTGGCTTCTTTTCCAGTAGTAGACTTCATTCGTATTTCAATTTATTCTCTCCAACTACTGAAGGACATACATATATATTTATCTTTTATTGTTTATATTTTGCCTTGCATTGCATGTACACGTTCCCAAAGTTTATTTTGACAATTGTCAGAGCCTATAGTCTTCCTGGCCCAGTTCCCCTTGCCATCTTGAAATGTATTGTACCTTTTTGTCAAAGTKAGATGACCAGTGARGGYGAARTTTTTGTTCAGACMCATGAAAATAGTTYGACTTCAAGGTGGCAMAGGGAACTGTGAAGARAACTATTGYCTAAAATCCTCAGTGCTAACTTACYCAAATTCAAGAAGTCAGAGGAACATTTTTCCTATCTTCTATTTTCATTCATGTATAGTAATAAAATATCTGGTTTGTTTTTCAGTGGTGCATTAGTGCTAAGTGACAATGGTATTTGTTGYATYGATGAGTTTGACAAGATGAATGACAGTACAAGAGCAATACTTCATGAAGTCATGGTTAGTGTTAAAACAATGAAATTATGTGGAAATTGGTACTCACAAAATATGGCACTTGACTAAAAAATTCTAATTTACCTAAAGATACTAAAGCACCTATTAAAATTTGTATAATTTTTGTTTCAAAAGTGAATTTCAGGGTTCTTCTACTTAAAGTCCTTGAAAAGTCCTCGAATTGAAAACTTGGGCATTAGAAAACCCCTTGAAAATACGAAAACCCAAGTTCTAAGATAACTTCCAACAGTTAAAGTAATTTAACTTGTTTTCCACAGGAACAGCAAACGCTTTCAATTGCCAAAGCTGGAATCATTTGTCAGCTTAATGCCAGGACATCAATTCTTGCCGCAGCAAATCCTGTTAGATCTCAGTGGGATCCTAAACTGACAACAGTGGAGAACATCCAGCTACCCCACACTCTACTTTCAAGGTTATGGTTAATTCTTGCAAGAAAAAAAAAATATAATAATAATATAGTCTCCTCTCGCAGCCATT